TTTATAATGGCTGGGAAAATCAAACCAAGCTGTCTTCTAATAGCCAACATGAGTGTCAGAACTGTTTTTACAGAAAGCATATTATTGGGAAGTTGTATTAAAAGGATGCTCCTGGACAAAATTTGAATTCTCAAAAAGGCAAACTAAAAAACAGTGCTCTGTGAAAGAATGTGAGTTTTAACATTTTAGGGATAGATAATAGCGCTCTTTATAAAAGTAATAATAAACATGAGTATTTTGGAACTTGATTTGGGAATGGCTAAGAACATGGAAACTGAGTTCATTGTCGCTAGGTCTGCTGCTCTCCTTCCATATTAAAAAAACACAAAGAACTGAGCAATGATTGTGCTCGTCCATCTGGACCTGGCTCAGTGTGATGGTATATTCATGGAGCTCAATGATTCATCTCTGCTTGCCGCTCAGTTTCCCATCTACACTAACTGTAACCGATTAACTGGCTCGTCTTGACCTCCCTGCTGATTCTTGCCACAAGATGTCTGGGTAATCTACAAAGCCTGCAAGCAGGAAAACCACTAAGTGACCAGTCGTATGCGTTTCAAAAACTGTAGTTCAATATAGAAAAACTGGAACAACAGTTCAGGGTAAAGTGACTCATATGAAGTTTTAGTTTAGTTTTTTTCAGTTATGTTTCAATCCCTTCGTTGTTAAGTCTGTCTTTCACTTTAATTGCCAAGGTATAATGAGTACAGCTGTAGATCTTTAAAGCTACAGTATTTCTTTATGCAGAACAAATACTTTACAAAGACATTGGCTTTTCTTATGTTTTAATGTTAAACACAGTCTGGTATTTAAAAAAAAACTGGACTCTGGGACTTCATGCTTTCAAGATGAATGATACCGTAATTGCTTAAGAACTACAGCGGTTTGCAAAACATTAAAAATTAGGTACCACATTATTACAATCTACTGTATGTGTTGTCAAATTACATCCTTGTATTTTTGCTTACACCTGATAAAGGTGCTTCCTACTTATCTAAACATTTTCAAAAAACATTGTAGTACTCCAGAAAGGCAGGAGACATTCCATCCCATGAAGGTCCAGCTGAGAATTAGGGAGCAGTAACATTAACAGAAAGCCTAGTCCATCCCACTACAGCCCAGTGGCAGAAACAGGATCTCCCTCTAGGCAGCTGGGCAACTGGCCTGACAACCTCTCAGAAAAAGGAGCCATTTCTGTTTTCTACAGATGTGTATTAGAAACAGTGATCATCACTGAACACCCTGCTACCCTGCATCCAGGGGACAAAAACTTCACTTCTTGGAAAAAGCACAAAGGAGGCATAGCCATGGTGCAAGTGCCATCTGTTGCTAAGGATCAGTTATTACCTAGGCCACATGTATCTAACTGTACGGAAATCTGATACACAGGCCTGCTTTTCTGTTTTAGTTCCAGGATCAACAAATGTTTGTGCTTTCTTTTAACAATTACGCTTGGTTGAAATCCTTTTTCCTTCTGCTGAATTTTCCAAAGATGAACTTCAGTTATGTTATTAATCTCCTTTGCTTCATTAAGTGCTGTAATGGACAGCAACAGAAACTGGAAAATGTTAGAGATTTCTGTGCAGGATTTTCAGTTTCCATGATTGGTAATGACAGGTCAGCTTTCAACATTGGCCTGAATACTGCACAGATGTTTCTCAATTACACATCTACTTCTTGCTTCCTTTTGAAGACTTTTAAAGTGAAATCACAATTTATATGGTTTAGAAGCAAACAAAAACTTCAATATTCTTCAGAGGAAAGCACATAGCGATCTGTGCCACTAGTTTAAAATGGGTAATGAACTCAAAGAAGGATAAATCTGATTTGAAAATGTATTTTGTATGGAATGCTTGTTTGTTGTTTTGTAGAAAAAACTAAGCTTAAATTTCAAACAGTTTTTTAATCAATGTGGGAGATTTCTGAAGTGTTGTGAGCAACCCAAGGTACTTGAAACATTTTACTTGTACTTGAGTCGTTTTTTTGTGCTAGTAGTGAAGGTGAAAGCCCACAGAAATGTTCGCCGTGCAGTTGAAAAAAAAACCCGATTTCCCCAGTTTAGCAGTACCGCTCAGAGGGATTGTGAAGGGCAGTGGATGGTGTATGCTTTTCCTGATAAGAGCTGGCAGGCTTGTCATCTACATGCAGTGCTGCAACAGCTGTGGTAGTGTCGGGAGCCCCAGTAACTGCACCAGATTAGCTAGTGCGGTATATTTAGCCTTTTCTGTGACTGCGCACAACCTGCAAGTGGAACAGTGTCAGCTTTCACCATAGCAGCAGGCCCTGCCTATTATTAACCCAGATCGCTCTTCTGTGCTGAGCGGCAGCTGCGATTCTCGGCTGGAGCACAAAACAAAGACAGGCATATGGCAGATATGGGGCTTTGCTTACTCAGACACTGTAAACAGAATCCAATGTAAAGTGATTAATTAAACACAAGGGGCTGACACAATGAGAATTTTATAGTTATCAGAGACCATCATAATCATTCTTATGAGATCCTCTGTGTGATTAGTCAAGACGTTTAAAGTCTTGTTGCATGGTACGGGCAGGATTAGAGGATATAGAAGATGGCATGATAAAGCTTTTGCTTTCTAAGTTCATTAATACATATATTTATTTTTTGTCAGATATTATGGGCTTTTAAAGATGCCTAAACAAGGTATTAGGCAAGCCCAAGCCATGAGACTACAGTTACAAAGGAACAATAGATATTTTAGATATAGACCGGTTCTCCTCTTATCGTCAGGAAACTACACAAATAAATGTATGGAAAGCTCTTCACACTTGTTTTCTCTGATGTACATCCTTCCCGTCAGTAAGTCACGCAGCACTCAAGCAAGAGGCAGCCTGCTACACTAAACACATGGCACTTCTTTGAACACACTCTTGTTTTCCAACACGTTTGCTCATAGACCAAAAATAAAGCACAAAACAACCATAAAACCACTTACTCATATTGTCCTAGCAACAGTGATTATTTTAAAAATATATTTTAAAAAAATTATAATGCTTCCAACTTTTTTTAGATGAATTATTGCTGGCCACAGACAGTAACTTCTAATTACTGATGCTAAATGTAACTTGAGCACAAAGGACAAAATAAAGACTTGCATGAAACAGGGACTCTTCTCCCGCAGAGACATAGTGAGTCACAGTGCAGGGACGAAGGGATAGCACGTGGAGCTCTTGCTGGAAATCCTGGACATGCCAAACAGCGACTAAACTAGCCCTGAGTCACAGAGAAAGTGCACTGTGTACAGCACAAAATTAGCCTTAAGATCCAATGAGCTGTGCATACATACAGCCTTAAGACTTGTATTTTAATCTTAGGCCTACGTAACAAGGATAGTGATCAATGAAACCTAAAGAGGATTAAATATAGGTCAGTGGAATTTCATATTGCAAAAAATAGTTTGATTAAAAAAGAAAGCATTTCACATCTTAGCTGTCATTTCGTCAGAACTAAAAAGAGGATTTCAAGACTGGCAACTGCTGCTACAGCAACACTATGCACTCAGGTCTTTCAGTCCAAAAAGACATGAACAGTTTTAAGCGGATTATACACGACTATAAGAAATATAGTATAACAATAGAAATATAAATAACCTTGAAGGGAGATTCCATGCCTGTAGTAAATTGAAAGCAAAATGATAACGTGGTATTAAATTGCTTTTTAAGAGCCATAAATCTCTAATGGAATCCAATGAATTACATGGGTTAAAAATAAATTCTTCAAAACATTTATGCAAAACAATTTTCCTTAAATATTAAGCAGGAACTTACATCAGTGTGATTGAAAACATAGTTGTGTTTATTAAAGTCACTTCTAGGATAGTAAACAACAAGTGATCTATTTTTTAAATGAGATTTTGAAAGGGACATGTGTTCCTTTAAAAATGTGCTCTGCACTCCAAAAACAAATTTTCTTTAAAATAACTGACCTGTTTACCTTCCTTAACCAAAAAAAATTAACTTGAGTGAAATGCTTACTTAATTAGATGTCCTATGGTGTCAGAATGTTACATTTACTATTTATAGCAGGCAGATTTCGGAGTTTAATCCCAGGAGTATTCTCCTTGCCAAAACGATTCTCGTGGACTTTATTGCATTAAATATGATTTTTACAATCAGAAAATGCTACTGGACCTGTCTAACGGTAAATTCTGTTCTATCCATAGATATGCTTAAGAGGACTTTGTACTGACTGATGCTCATGCAGACCAATTTTTTGGTTCTGTTCACACCTTACTTGTGTTATTTCACAAACAAAAACACTCCATAATATTACAAAACCATTTTCTTTATTTGAACACTCTTAAATTCAACACCATCTATTTACTACTGAAGTACCGAAATGACAACCCTTCCAAGTACTAAAGTAAAAGAGAAGCATATCACCAGAAAGACTCATACCTATTGCTCATGCCAAAAAGCACCCTAATAAGGGGGAAATCCTCATTGCATTCTTTATGTGATTTCTAGCAGAGCAGAGGACAGTAATGTTACATGAAACAAAGTAAACCCAGATTTGAAGAGAGCAAAGGTATCTGGAGATCCCTTCATCTGGAGGAGAACAGTGAAGGCAAGGGGATCACAGTCTTGAGCTGACACGGACAAAAGACCTCCTACTGATTTACTATGTTTTGCAAATGATCTTATAGCACTTGATATGGATTAACCAATGACATGCTGCAAGAGGTGTTAATCAGCATTTCCTGTAGTTAAATGCTTGATGATGTTACAAAACAGCATGGATGATGTCTCGAGAAACAAAGTAACATATTTTAGAGATTTCTGAAGATAGCAACCGTTCTCCAGCACTCGCAACAAGCGAGGCAAAAAATCTTTAACTGCACTGTGACTCAAACCTAAAACCCGTCAGTGTCAGTGAAAACAACAATTAAAGGTACAGAAGTAGTAATACTGTCCTTATGAGTAACATCAATAGCTATTACTCTATATTAATTAAAATAAATTACTTTCTCAATAAGCCTTACCGTCGTCCAGCGTGATGTCCTGCAGGCCAATGGAGCGGAAGGTGAGCTCTGTGTCCTCGGGCTCCTGCTTGATGTTCAGACTTTCCTCCTCATGAGGGAAGGATGGCTGTGGGGCTGAAGCATGTACCAGGGAGCCTGGCGCAGAAAGGCTGGCCATTCCAGGGCTGTGAGCTTGAGGGGAGGGCTGGCCGGAGCATGGCAGGTGCACCATTTGGCTGCCAGAGGTGGGTGAGGGAGAGGAGGCTGTCCCCGGAGTAGGGGACTGGTAGGGCAGTTGGTGCATCTGGGGGGAGGATGGCCCGGAGTGTGGGGACGGTACCATGGGGAGGGAGGTGGTAGGAGAGGGAGAGGAGGCAGACCTCTGGCTAGAGCTGTAACCCAAAGACTGCAACTGTGGTGAAGGCTGGCCAAGGGAGTGGGTGCCAGTTGGAGAAGAGACCTGGGCTGGGTTGGGACAGTGGAAGCCGAGGGACTGCAGATGAGGGGTGGGGTGAGCCAGTGGGTGGCCACTGGTTGGTGGAGGAGTGGAGTTGGAGGCAGAAGATGAGGCTGGAGAGTGGTAGACCATGGACTGACAACTCAGGCTGAGAGGGTGAGGCGCAGTTGACTCGGACTGGAAGGACATCCGCTCGTAGGCCTGGGTTGAGGCGGAGTTCATGGGAAGACCTGGTTGTCCATTGTATGCCAACTCAGACTGCATAGGCTGGTAGGAAGGCCTCAGCGGTGGGGCTGGGGTGGCATGGAAAGTCTGATGCACCAGAGGAGTGCTAATCATCTGGCAGTGCTGCAGGGCTGAGGGGCCCATAGGGGTGTAGGCAGGCTGTTGCTGGGGGGGCAGAGCGGGGACCAAACCGCGGGGAGAGGAGGAGAGCATGCCGTCTTGAGGGTGGCCCTGGTCAGGCGAAGGCAGCTGCGTCCTGACAGGGTGAAGGACAGGGATGCTGGCAGCATGAGCCATATGCATGGGCACAGATGAGACGGTAGGCAAGTCTAGATCATCTCTGTGCTCCTGCTTGATAAGAACTGCAGACAGAGAGAAAGAAGACATCTACATAAGCCAAAGAAAACACAATTTTTACAAACAGCAAATACCAAATAGAACAGAGTTCAGAGTGTGTGACAACATAAAGATGAGGTAGAAATATTAGTGCTTATCTCAAGACATGGCTGAACAGGTTTTTTGGATAATCTGTTATTTAAGCTATAGTGGGATGGCTGAGACTTTTGGCACAGTATTTTAGAGGTGAAAGATATAGAGACAACATTCAAATGAATCTAGAGTTCAATGTTTCAAATAATGGTGCATTTCTGTCATAACGCCTATGACACATTCACTTTAAAGAACAAAGCTTTTCTGTATTCACTCAGAAATGTTCAGAAGAGAAAACCAAGCACAGCAACCTAATATGCAAAACACACAATCAGCTTTTTCTCATCGAAGATGCGTATGGGTTACTTTGATGATCTAAAAGGTGATGAATGAAATTAAGATGTCAAAACTGAACAAAGAGAAGAAAAGCTATTTTTAGGAATAAGAACTGTTCACACAGAACACGCAGTTCTGTAACCCACTTATCAATCTGGTGCTCAGTAAACAAATGTTTTAAAAGATATTTTTATCCAGCTCTGCTCAAGGGGGCATGACTACAAAGCATATGTTGTTTGTCCATGTGCCATGAAAGCCACTTCATGGAAGAAGCAGAGCCCCCTGCAGCACTGCTGCACAAAGAGGGGGAGAACCTGCTGCACGGCCCCTCCAGCATTGCTGCTGGCCCGCCTTCTTTGTTGTAGGAATGCTGTCCAACAAAAACCAGAGCACAGAGTAAGCATGTTCGCGTTTCAACACAACCCCATAAAAATGTGACGAGGAAGCCGGGCAGACGGGGTGGAGTGACAATAATGTGTTTTTCAACAACGCGACTGAAAGTGACTGTTTAGGAACGTTGAAAAGCTAATTAAGGAGAGAACCTTTTATATTTCAAGCCGGTTGTGTTGCCATCCCCTGCCTACGCATTTCGCACCATTCCAGCGCATGCTATCGTGTGCTTCAGCCGCCCACACGCAGGCTGTTGTTAATAACAAACAGTCTGTCAGGCGCTCAGGGCCCCTGTCTCTGCCACTCTCCCTGTGCGAAGCGGCCGTGGTTAGCAGATAACCAGTGGCTGCCGCTTGAGAGCATGAGCAGACACTTCCTGCAGACACCTGTACTTGTCACCCATTGGCTCAACACATGGCTGCTGGAGGGAAAACAGGAAACGCTCATCAAGTGGTTGCATCATGAGTGCAGAAGGTGGGCGTCAAGGTTTGGTGCCATTTAGCTTTATTTTAAATATATACACACTTTTTTTTACTCTCTTACATTGATGACCTTGGTAAAGAATTTGAAGTGTGACTTGTTTAATCATTTCAGGCTTTATTAATTTTAAATGATCATAAAAAGTTGACAATTCAAGTAAGGACAATTCAGCGCACTTTTAGCAAGCTTTAAAGTATTCGCTTGTCTGTTTAATTTAAAGTTTTATCACTTTTTAATTTTTAACAGTGTGCATCTCTTTCCTTGTTTCAACCACTTTTCTACCATTTAAAAAAGAAAATCAGTACTAAAACTGAGCATTTCCTTTTCTTAACTTTAACACATTTTGTTGAGCAAAAAAGGTTGAGACTAGTGTAAATGAGCAAACTTAACTGAAACTAAAGCTTTCAGCTTTAAACCAAACTGAAAATTAATTCAATTATAAAAAGAAACAAATTGCCCCCTCTCTCTTTCTCACGAAGGTTTGTTTTTTCATGACCGGTTTTAAAACGTTTTTACTTCATAAACATTTTCCCACTCCCTTATATTACTGCACATGGACACAGCTCACAAGCCCATGAGTAGTTAGTTACAAAACCAAAGAACTCCAATTTCACCACTTCAAATGCCATTAAACCAATTAAAAGCAAACTTTTTCTCCTCCCCAATTAGATATAACAAACAGCAGACTATTCTATCTGGCATTTTTGCAACGAGTCACCGTAGCAGCCAGAGTAAAGAATTCACTCGGTGCTCACCGAGTCCTTGCTCTTAATTACCTGACAAGTATGTGAAGCGCTGGGACTGGCTCCTTTTCCTTTTCCCATTACACACATAAAACTGCACCTGAACCGGAGACGTCACAGTTTTACAGTGGTACGGAGGGACCTCAATGACAATAGTAGCCTGAAAGGGAGGAAAAAACTTACTTTTCAAACTAAAAACACCTAATGTAAAAAAAACACTATTTTACTACATGTAGAACACTGTTACTTTATTTATCCATATGGTTATTCATATACTAATAATAAACGTATCTAATACATAACTGAACAGCTACACAGTGGGTTGCAAAATGTATTCATACCCTTAATAAAAAATAAAAGTTGTTTGCAGCAACATTACTAATTGCAAATGAATTTGGTGGAATAAATGTAAAATAAATTAAAACATTAAAAACTGTAAATTTCAGTATTGGACACAACATATACATAACTGTCCAAAATAAAAGTATACATATAGCCTGATAAAATAGTACATTCCAAATACTTTTTAAAATTATATTAATTTCATCAGAATATTTATGAACTGATACACCCTGGAAACTGTGTATCAGAGGAACACATCTTATTAAGGAATTTAATTTTAAAATTAGGAATCAAATATTTTTGTTTTATACACCCTGTCATTTTGGCATCGCCTATTGTAACCTTAAGAGCTTGCCTTCCCCTCTCTTCACTGTGAGAGAGAACTGCATTTTCTCCTTACCCCTTGACTTTTTTCTCGCACTATTTTTGCATCTACTTCCCACTGAGGTCGTCCATCTAGAGGAAAAAAAACACATTAAGACTCCTGGCTTGATCCAAGTTGTAGAGTTGCACAATTCATTTGCCTTGTTTTTCCCGAAGCATTTCTGCAAATCAGCTTGGAATCAGCTTACTCTGCCCATATAAAATGACATTCCTGTAACTGGGAAAAAGAAAGTGTCAATTCTGAGCTGTGGCACAAGCTGAGTGCCACAGCTTGTGCCACAGCTGTTGAGACTTACTGTCCCAACAGTTCATAAACAAACATTGAAAAAAGAAAACACGTTATTCTTACTTCTACAGTAATTTGAAGCTTTTTTACTATGAATCAGAAATGTGTAAGTAAGAAAATGGTCTACTACCATACAGTACCCTTCAAAGGTATTGGGAAAATAAAGTGAAAACTGTTATTTTTGTTTAAAAATAACAATACAATATTTTTTATTTTTCAAGTGAGAAGAAGTAGTGGGACACATTCACTTCAAGCAAATTTTAGTTTGCAACAATCAGTACTTGTTTGCATGTCTCTTTGGGGCGAGAAGTCTGTGACTCATAAAGCTCAGCCTCTCTTTGTGGGGTCATTTGAGATGTTCTTGTGCCTTTTCATACGGTGTTCCAATTTCAGTTTTTTCTTCAGCATGTAAAAAGCTAGCTCAATGGAATTTAAATCAGGAGACTGACTTGGCTAGCCTATGATTTTCCACTTTTTTGATGGTGAACTGCACTGGCCACATGTTTTGGGTCGTTGTCATCCTGCAAAGGGCAATACTGCTCAGTAATAATGGAAATATATTCTTCTACATGAGCAGACAAAGTGTTCCTGTAAAATCATGGATTCAATCTGCTGCTGCCATCATCAGTTATGTCACCAATTAAGATGTGTGATCCAGTTCCAGAGGTGACCATGCCTGCCCAAGCCAGGCCAGGCTTCACAGATGAGGTGATGTCCTTTGGAGCATCTGCAGTTGCTTTTTTCTCCAGTTTAAACATTCCAACACTTTGGTAAAAGTTTATTTTGGTCTCATCTCTAAATAAAACTGTACTAGTACATATTTGTACTTCCAACCAAATTCTAATCTATCTTTTCTGTTCTAGGTGTTAATGAGAGGCTTTCATCTCACGGTGCAATCTTTGGAATGCTGCTGTCCCAGCTTTCTGACATCTGTGTGTTATCATACCTTCACCCCTTCGCTCTGGAAGCTGACAGTGTTTTCACTGAGAGTTTCCTTGAAATTATTAACAAGATGTTTTTCTTGGGCAAACTCGTTTTGGTGATTGGTAATTCTATCTGTGGTTACTTTCGTCATCTGTATATTCATATTGGTATGCCCAATTTCCGATTTATTTTAAGTTATTTTGATTTTATTTTAACTTTCGGTTATGGAATCCACACACTTAACCCAAACCAAGACAGGCTAATAAGAGTTCACAGCTCTTTCATGAGAACCCAATTATCCAATGGCAAACACCTGACCAACAAGGTGGTCAAGGGTGAGCTGGCAGCAAATTCTGCAATACTTTGAGGTTCAATACTATCAATCTGTTTAATTGACCCAAGAGGGCAGCACTGAATTGATTGTATTATTAATGAAGTACTTCAGAGTTTGTACTTATCACTCATAGTTTTTTTTCCCTTGAGAAATTATTTTTTGAGCTCATAGTGAAAATTCCAGTTTAGACTTCAAACCTAAAGCAGCCTAGTTTTGTAATATTACATAGTAGTTTTCACTTTAGTATCGTTCCACAGTACAAAGCAACACTGCTTAAACTGATTTCTCTTCTGGGCATCTTTCCAAGCAATATTGACATGAACCTCATTAAAAAGTCTTTTACGCATTCTAGGCTTACATCTTGCTTTGCTCCAATGAGATCTTATCCATTATCACGATCCCTTGAGATAAAAAGGACTAATTTATTTCAAACAATGTTACACATACATCTAGCCCAAACTCTTAACATTTAATACCTCAGATGCCTCCAATAGCTATGAACTGCTTCTTCATTTATACATATGACTTTAGTTATTTCTTTTCTTTGACTAGTTTTCTTTGTAAAGCTCACTTGAAAAAAAAAACACCCAAATACCTTTTGTACAATAACAGGTAAGCAAATAGTAGTTGTTTTATTCTGTCTAGATTAAAAAATGGAAGAACAAAAGGTTGATGGCTTTTAGTTTTACAATACAGTACATGTATGCTGAGCAACCGTCCAGTTTTAAAGTGATAACAGCACTCATCTGTGAGGTGCTGCAGGAGTTAAAGGTCTCAGGCATGGTGAGCCAGTCACTCTCTTTACATTCAAAGCCTGCATAGTCACAACCACTGAGGCTCCCCCTTTCTTTTCAGTAGCCTTTCTTCACTTTGTGACTGCCGTGCAAAATGAGAAAAGGAAGGAGCCCCAGTTAAATCTTCTAGAGTAGATAACTTGCCTTCTCAGGTGGTTGTTTCAAAAAGCTGACGTCATATGTGGGTCAGCAGATTAAATCTTTGCACCTGCATAGCTTTTTACCATAGGCTTCCCTAAAACTGAAAAGCTATCCTGCCTTTGTGTAACAAGCCTAAGTATTATGCACAGTAATATTACTGGCTTTATCAAAAAGAATTAAGCGAATGTTACTGCATGTTCTTTATTTCAGTCATGGACTGTACAGGTAGTTTCTTTATGCCTCTCCATTTCAGATCACCAAACTTAAAAAAATAATTAAATTCACAACTTAAACCTTCATGTCAACACAGGAGAGGTGAGGGCTTTCTTTACATGGGAATCACAGTTTGAAAAATTATAATCTTGTTTAGATGTACTGTTAATGGTGAAAAACATTTGGGATGTTGTGTACTGCAGTTTATTTAAACTATAAAATCTATCTGAATCCACACCCTTAAGAAAACTTCCTGGAGACTACAATGTTAGGGGAGTTGTTTAGTGTCTGTTTGTCTTTTCGATTGGATCTTTACTACCAAAATATGCTGTCCAGCTCACATAGAACTGTCGAATCAATCATTTTTATATACTTTTCATTCAATCACTCCCCTTTTCCTTGGAAAACAAAAAAAATTAAATGAGGGAAGCTAATGGCCCCAGTTATAATACGGAGGAAAGACTTTTTTCCTGGCAGGAAAAAGGAGGGAAAATAATCTTATCCAAACTGAGCTGCAGCCTCTGCCATCAGGCCTGAATCGCCTCACCCTAAATCACTGCTCAGCACATTCCACACTTCCACTGCTTGATTCCTGCCCTTTAACCCTAAACACACGAGCCTGTTGAAAGGACAGGCAGCATCAGCCCTTTACTGCCAAATAATAACAAGGGATCACATCTCGGAGCAAGTTACAAACGTCATTGCACACATACTGACAGAAATCACTCAGTGCCTCATGAATTATTGCTGTTTTCTTTTCCCATTTAAAAAGGGACACTAACATCACTGCAAATAATAGGGGCACACAACAGCCACGCATTTATTTTTCTACTCGGCAAAACGTTTTTGGTATGTCATTTAACAACCACGGATCTTACAACAATGTGCCCTGAGGCTGAACTAATTATTTTGAGGATGCAGAACTCCATTACCTTGCATATACTGTATGATGACAAATTACAGTAGATGTGTCAAACATTCTCAAAACACAAATTTCAAAACAGTAACAAGCCAGTATTCACCTAACATTTTTTTCCCCACACAATATTCTCTACATCTATGGATGTATCTATGGAAGCTATATAATAAAACACGCTCCTGTCAAGTTCAGATTTTTAAATCCGAAAAACTATTTCTGATAAAAAAACTAATTTTTTAATGCTAAGCTACCACTTTAAAAATGCAAAGTGCACTGAATAAAAAAACACCTATTAGTGAGGCAATATGAATAAATGATAACACAGCACAAAAGCGATACCTGACGTGCGACCTGCTCACCATGTGACTGGTATAACTCAAGCGCTATTCTGCCTGTTCGGAAACAGCGAGCAGCTGCTCCTCCCTGGGCTGGTGACCAGCATGTTTGTCACTGGAGTGCCTAGTCAGTCAATCCACACTGCACCTCGCTGCAACTGCTCGTCTCAACATCCCAACTACAACAACGATACAACCCAGCATCAGGATTTCCACATAGTATGTGCCTAACTGGTCTTTGGGGTTGGTTCTAGCCAGCCTGTAGCGAAAGTTTCTTTAAGACTGTCAAAGTCCTTAACTACACAGCAGACTGCTCAGCAGTGTCCTCTGTCTATACTCATTTCTGTCACATAGACAACAGCAAGGTGAACTGCTTACAATAAATGCCCTGTCAGGAGCTGAACTTTTGTGTGGGCACAGATTTAAGCACTAGCTGTGAGCTTCACTGCCTTGGCCAGATGGGTACCCATACTGAACAGATGAATGACTGAACCACAGAGGAGATGCTGACATTTTAAACAAGACACTTTTTTTGCCACAAAATAATGAAATACATATACAGGAAGGTTGTGATTTGTTCTAATTCAAAGCTTTGTTTTCATAACTTGCATAAAACTGTTGACATTAATGTAAATACTATGAAAACAGCCATGCTGTTCATTTTCCTATGTGCACACACAAAACATGCAGTCAGTTATAAAAAACAAAACATCTTTATCTTTACTTTTCTTGGAAGCAAGGCCAATGTTCACCATTGAGTTCAAAGACACAGATTAATTCACCAACAGCCACTGTCACTAATTTACTATGCTCTCCTTGTCCAGGTGTCGACAGCAGTGTTGCTTCTGTTGATGAAGTTACAGAATGAAATCCTTTTTCATTGAAAAGGGGTTACCCAAGTAATGGAATACACTGAGAAATTTGGTATTCACCAGTTACACATCGATTGTGAAGTATTTTCCTACCCTGGAATACAAAACTACAGCAGCTGTTTAGGTGCCTTTCCAAGTTTTCTTTTGCCAAGTTTTAAAGTGAAATTAAAGATTTCCCCTTCCTTGGCAGTTAGAGAAACCTGCATTCCTGAAGGTACTTATTAAAACATCAGTGCAGGTCTGTCAGCAACAATAATTAGGGCCATTCCACATAGGAACTTGGTTTTTACACAAACAATCATGACAGGAATGGACGGGTAACTGAATGCCATCTTTGAAATATTTCCAATTTGGGCTCGCCTCTACTTGTGTTTATTATTGCAGCGAGAGGAATGACGTAAATCAGATCCACAGGACTCCAGGGCTTTAGATTTCCATAATGAAAATGTTTCAGTACCCCGTGTGCTACCTGCATTCTCAAGACGCTCTACTTGGGTAAATGAAAACAGATAATATTCCAAGATGATGTGATATCAAAAACTTTATAAATATATTATAAAAAACAAGACCACTGTCATGACATATAAATGAAAATCAAATCCATATGAATGATGTCTTATGAAAAGAAGAATGAAGGCTATGATTGTGCAGTGAACGGGGGTTTCAGGTATCCTCTTGCTACCCTCAGCACTCATTATTACATGCTGTTAATCTGCTGTGCAATTCACAGAGGTTTCAAGGGTGGTAATTAAGATTCAATAACTAATAATCAGGGGTTTCCTGGATTCAATTCGTATTTTGAATCTCACTTTCCCACTGTAAGGTGTAATTTTGAGCAGCAGGAACTAAACACTAAAATGTTTATGCTGAATGTATAGTTCCTATGTATACTGTGTAACTTACATTATATGTAATTTACATTTTGTGTTTTATATTATTCTAAATTATAAATAAATGCTGCACAAAGACTCTGGTGGTGCATCTGTAAAGAGTTTAGATTGTGGTTCTGTAGTAGGGGATGAAGAGTAAAGTACTGAACACTTACCAGGCCCCTTCTCTAGAAATACGACTTTGGACTCTGGAAAGAAATTTGACCCAGTGATGACCATCTCCTCCCCACCACTGACACAGCAGCTGTTCAGGCTGTACTTCTCCACCTGGGGAAGCTCCTGTGCTGACCGCTGGGCTGCAAGACCACATCACACATGTCAGTCAGAGACAACTCTGGAATCCCATACCAGTCAGAATTACTAAGGCCTCTGCACATCTTTCAAACAGTACTGCGGCCAGCAGCAGTGAACGAACTCCTTAGTGTAAGCACTAATTGACTTGTCAAACTTCTTAAAGAAAGGATGTAACAGAAATCCACCCAGTCCAGTCTCAATCCAATTGTATATGCCCACTAAAAGAAATATACTGTGCCATCTACTAATGGACCACCGTTTTCATTCTGCAAGATAATTCACAACATTAAAGTGATGTATGCTGCTATAGACATCATTTACAAGGCTGTTTTGCCTAATTCTACCTTAATCCCATAGCCACTGTACTGAACGTCTCATGTCTCATGTGCTGCACTGCAGTGTGGGGACAGTGTCTGGACACAGTTGCAGTTACAGGTTCGGTGTGTGGGGAAGACAGGGCAGCGAGTGGGGTGTCTGGCTCAGTCCTCAGTGGCGAGTGGTCAAACATGCTTGATGGGGGGCACAAGCAGCAGTTTACTCACAGCATTCCACAGGGATGGAGGCAGCTTGCAGGGAGACAACTTTGCCATTGGAGTGTGGGATGTGTACACGGAACACGACTCGCACACGCGTGTTCTTCCTTCCAATGTCCGTCTCTCCTTTACGAAGCTCTATATCCGAGTTCCGCAGCTTCAGAATTCCTGCACAATCAATACTGGCAAAGAAAAGAGAGGGGTTTGCCCAGCCACCAGCCAAAGAGAACCAGGGACATCTCTGTAACTCTGAAACAGCTAGTGCATTTGACAAAGTGACAGACAAAAAGATTTGTATGTTCTTACTTTCCAAACTCTTAAAACTATTTTCTGTACTTTTACAATTTAGGGAAAAAATACTGATACATTGCTAGCAAGGACATAAAGCACTTTTATCACAAGAATCGAAACTGTTATCGTTCAATGAACAGGCTGATATGATATCACACCAGAACAAAGGTAATAATCTAGACTTTAGTCTCGTTGTACTATTCATTCATTTATTAATCTGTGCATACTGTAATGTTTACACCTGTGTGTTAGTTCATAACACAGATAAAATAGAGATTATATAACTGCAAGGCAGCAGAAAATACCCTGGAAACTGTGTTCCACTGTGTGTTTTGTAATACTGAAGTAAAACAAATGATGGGGTATTTTAAACAAAGAATATTGTTATGAAGTTTAAAGAAAGATTTAAAAGCCAGACATGTAATAAAAATAATAAGAATTAAGATGATGGAACTCCTATCCCTTTAAGTTAAACAGTAAAACCAGTTTAAAATATAAAAGATTAAAAAATCAAAACACACTTGTTCCCCTGTACCTTGGCTAACCTAATCTTGAAGGCTTTATTCTTCCATGGAACAAAGTTGTGACGCTGTAACAAAATACGCAAATTTATAGACGTTGCTAGCCTTAAAAATGGAAAAAATAACTTATTCTCTAGACTACCATGGCGTCAAATCTCATATTTTCCTTTCTGACTTGCTATGCTGTTGGTTTCAATTAAATATCTATAAAATTCACAGTGGAAGACATCACAGTCCCAACTACTATAAATTCTTTGGGCAACAGTGCTATTTTTATGCTCATGAGGCTTCAACAGTGGCACGCTTGAGAGTGAATAATGTAATTCTGAAGTGGTTATGACAAGTACCTGGCTGACATATTGTTTTCGGGAAGGAGAGGAATTTCGAGAACCTTTGTACTGGCGATTATGATTTCCTGGCTAGCTGTAGCGACAGTTTTCCCGGTGATTCTGTGCACCTGGTAGAAGGCATGTGGTCTTAAGTAGCGATCATCAGCTGTTCCAATGAACATCTGTAGGTTAACAGGCTTCTCATTGTAGCCTATCAGCTGAAACAGGAAACAATAACAGACATGTAAATATACCATAAATGCACAAAACAGTGCAGTGTGTGTATACACATTTAAGTCACGTTGAAACATTTAAGCATACATTCAAGATAGATCTGGCAAGGTATATGGAGATTTATCTGGTGTGCTGGCATAGAACCTTGGTCAACTCTGATTCTTGAGCAATGGCTTTATCATATTTCCCCTTACTGTTTCTACCAGGGACCCAGAGTATATCTAATTGTTATAAAAACTTTCTGCCTATAATCTTTGACACAAATGTGGCCTCAAGAAAAACGGGACACAAAAACAATATCCTTCTTTGCTTCTAAAACCAGGATTGATTAATTTTGAGTATAAAAAAGGACATGAAGTTAAGACTATAAAAAAGACAGGAAGACATACAACCGACATACGAGTCCTGTCAACCACATACTGTAAATGACTGTATGATTTGAGACTATGGATTACATGTGGTGTTTTTTCAAATTGAAGGTGGTAGGCACTCAGATAATGCACATATCTGGAATGGTTAATGAGCTCATTTATAGATAGAAAACAAAGTACAAATAAGGGGTGTATGTTTAAACTGTTCTGATGTAATTAGTGAGGTACTACAAGGGTACATATTAGGACCACTACTCTCCTTCATATATATCAGTTATCTAGATTCTGGTATATACCAAATTAGTCATGTAAGCAGAAGACACCAAAACAGAAGTTGTAAAATTCAAGACAGCCAGATAATATTTAAAGCAGACAAGTGTTATTTGCAGGTTGCAAAAGTAAACTATAAATATAAGATAAATAATAAATATAAGCTTGTAAACTGGTAAACAGTGAACAGAAGCTGATGGAAAAGACTTATATGTTGATGATGACATTATTTACATCTTTCAGATAATGCCTGGAAGCAATAAAAAGGGCAAACAAAATAGAGAGGATATATAGTTTAAAAGTATAGAATGTAAATCGTGTCAGATTATGTTAAAATTGTATTGAGGCTTAATTTAGAAATTTGGCTCCATGTTACAAAAAAATAATATAGTCCTAGCCAGAGCAGAGTGACCAGATACAGTCCCTGGGCTGTAACACTCTACTGACAAGTTAAAGAATTAAATCTTTCTTAGCCTTGAATAGAGACGACGATTTGGGCTGGAGGTGACTAAAGTATTCACAATCCTGGAAGGTACTGATAAAAGGCAATGGACCTCTTCAGAACAAACAGTATAACACAAACCAGAGGACTGTTTTGAATGTGGAGTGAACACCACAGGAAAGTGCACTTAAAACCAAGCTTTTTTGCTTTACTAAAAGGTTTGTGAGGTTCTGGAACAAGCTATTACAAGAAAGACACGTTAAATCTGATCACTTGTTTTTTTCATGAAAGAGTTATACAAGATCCTCAGATCAATTAGCTATTAGCAACCAAATAAGCTAAATGGGCCATAGGCCTCCCCTTGTTTTTAACCTTTATGTTCTTATGAGCTCTTAATTGGCTCCCACATTGTGCTTCAGTTTCTTACATGGCCACCTCACTTTAAAAATGCATTATTTATGAAAGCTCTCCAGCACAGATAAAGGAAAGTGCAGAAGCTGCGGGTGTAACGGCACCGCCCCCAAGGCAGCCAGAGAGCCAGCCTTCCCGCTGCGTGTGCCCTGGACAGCTCTGCCCTGTGCCTTCCACACGCTCCGGGGCCCCAGGGCAGGTAAGGGACCTACTGGGGGAGGAGGCTCTCCGCAGGGAGCGGCAAAGGCTTCCTCTGCATGTGGATAAAGTAAACACAGCTCCAACAATTCAGTCCTTGTTGAAATGTTGTAGTTGGCGCACACTGGACTTGCAAAAGGGCAATTCTGACCTCTGAGCGTGGAGATCAATGTGAATTATGGAGCAACTCCTTCATCACTTGGTACTCAGGAGACACCCCACCCCCAAACTGTGGCCACAGCTGCATGGTGACCTTCTTGCATTTGCTGTTCTTCATCTCATAGCGTAAATATTTAAGTAGTTACACATTAAGGGTCAATGCTTCTACCGGCTACCCATTTACCAAGGCAGTTTCAAAATGTGCAAATATTTAAAAATCTCAACAGATATTTTTAAGTATTCTTTTTAAGGCTTCTCCAAGAATTATAAAATTGTTGGCAAACAGTAGTTCCATCAGTCTCAAAGATAGCTACTAGCAATATTATTTCATTTTCTAGCTTGAAAAGTCTTCTTCAAAAACGAATTAGTTTTGCTAAACCCCAACACTGCATTATAATAATAATAATTGCTTACACTTATATAGCGCTTTTCTGGACACTCCACTCAAAGCGCTTTACAGGTAATGGGGACTCCCCTCCACCACCACCAATGTGCAGCATCCACCTGGATGATGCGACGGCAGCCATAGTGCACCAGAACGCTCACCACACATCAGCTATCAGTGGGGAGGACAGCAGAGTAATGTAGCCAATTCATAGAGGGGGATTATTAGGAGGCCATGATTAGTAAGGGCCAATTGGAAATTTGGCCAGGACACCGGGGTTACACCCCTACTCTTTTCGAGAAGCACCCTGGGATTTTTAATGACCACAGAGAGTCAGGACCTCGGTTTTACGTCTCATCCGAAGGACGGCGCCTGTTTACAGTATAGTGTCCCCATCACTATACTGGGGCATTAGGACCCACATGGACCACAGGGTGAGCGCCCCCTGCTGGCCCCACTAACACCTCTTCCAGCAGCAACCTTAGTTTTTCCCAGGAGGTCTCCCATCCAGGTACTGACCAGGCTCACACCTGCTTAGCTTCAGTGGGTTGCCAGTTGTGAGTTGCAGGGTGATATGGCTGCTGGCCATTACTGCATAAGGTTGTCATCCTCTCTGCCATGCAGGGGCAAAAAGACATACAGAATGTCCCATACAGGAGGAGCAGCCATAGGCTCATATAAACGGTGTTACTCAGATGCGGAATAACGGGCACAATCATTTGCACTCTGCACATCCAGGTTGAACTATAATGCCATGGAGGACTTGTTGTGTTTGGACAGCTTCCCTGTACTGACCCCAAGGGTGGTTTTAAAAACAACTTGAGGAAAGCGAAGGCTGCCACTGTGTGGATGATTTATTTCAATTGCGAGACCCAGAGTAGCCAGGTCCAGCTCTCTGAGCTAATTAACCTACAGGGTGTGCAGGGAAAAATAAACACACACCAGTCGGGGCTCAAAAGGCAGAATGGACTGCCAGCTTCACAAACAGGTCAATGCAAAGCAAATTTATTTTCCTAAGCATGGTTCCTATGAAAATAGTACTTTAAACCATCTACCTTTACACAGTGGTGATGTTCTAGCTAATCACTTTTTATTGCTATGTGAAGACCCATAATTAACAGCAGTTTATATATGTATATAATTAGCTTTAATCATATCACAAGGATGTGCGTACACAGTGTTAGTACATAGCCGTTGCAATGTTAAGCAGCAGTGATATGATGGACATCGATTCTTGTCATTAAACCTGTATAAGTATTATATAAGAAAGCCTGCGTACCAGTTTTCAAGACTGTCCACCTACAGACCTCAGAGTAAGCAACTGTGTGCCAGCTGTAGACTTCAGCTTTCATAAGGAGATGGAAAGATATGACATGGGAAAGCAGTATAACAGAGTATATTGCTTTCAATGCAAAACTGCACAATGCTGTAGTGAATGAAGAAACCAGTAGATGTAGATGATGGAAAGGGAAGGATGTGACTTTAATGGTAAAAACAGAACAAGCCAAACCTGCTCATCAACAACAAATTTGGGTCAGCAGTTTTAGCAAAAACACATTTTTGCTGGTACTCATTTGAGATCTTAATGATTAAAATGAAGTGAATCCCTGGGCAAGACAATACATTGATGTGCATGTAGAATTACAGGACAAAACTATGCAGTATAAAATCTCTTCTAGCCTACATTATTTACCAAAGTACTTGCATTAGTAAAGTTGGTAATCACGGTAATGTGATTTTGTTTCAATACACCTCTTAAGCTACAAGGCAAATTTTGCATCACACATGCTTATTTTGTCCTGTCCCCATATGGCACCATACTGTGCCATTTTCTTTAATTAAAATTTGAGCGAGAGTGTCAAAGGGATTAGTCTCGCGTAGCTTAAAAAAGTTTAATTGCTGCTCAAAGCTCAAAGCAGAGCAAAAGGGTATTTAGTGCTCTCCACTACCTTATAAACCTCAGTGGATTATAGACTGTTGTTGTTCCAGGTTTAAAGTGCCAGCCTCAAGGTTCAGAAAAAGACTGAATTCTCCTTTCAATGAATGAGGTAGACTGCAAACTAAAAGCACTTTAAAACAAGCAGGAAATAAGGAACCACTTCTTAGTTTTTTGTTACAATGCAAATAAATCTGAGGTATTAATTGGCTTTATTTTAGCTGTCAGAAAAGTAAACAAAATATACTCTATAATACTTCAGGGTTTTTTCTCAATGCATCGTGAAGAGGAAATATACATTATTTTTATTTTTAATACTCCAAAGAAAAGAACATGGGATCTTAATTAACGGTCAGCCACCTTACCTGCTTTCCTTCAAAAAAACATAAAATAACGCAACGTTGGGAAAAAATTGTTGGATTATTCCTGAAAGGCAAAAAGAGCCCGGCTGCCCGTTCGGCCCTCCAGTATAGAGAGAGACAGGGTCTGTGACAGAGACGTATGGCAGAGGGCTCCACCAGAGCAGGCTGTGTTTACACATCGCCGCCCCAGCAGCACGTGTCAGACAGGGCATATGGCGCGCACTCTGAGAGAACAGCTCTCTCTTTCAGAGCCCATCGAGGAGGAGGAACACAGCTGCCATAGCTCAGGGCAGCCCGTCCTGTGAGTGGCTGCACAGCCTCCTCTGCTGAGACGGGGTCAGAGATGGGCGAGACTGGCAGGCTGGATGGGCGGTGAACTCAGACTTCAGCTTGAGTTTCTGCACGAGACTTAGAGACCAGACTGCTAATCCAGCTTCCAAGTGTGTGGTG